TTTTTTTCTTTGTCATTCTTTCTGGTTTTATTTTATTTTATGTATATATACAGAAAATGTTAGAAAACACTAACATACTTTCAAAGGTCAAAACTATACAAACAGGAACACTAAGAGATATCACCTTCGATATTCCTTCTTTGCCATCTTTTATTATAGGTAATCAGCTTAATTGGTTTAAACTTTCTTCTGTTGCTTTTTCTAAAGGTAAGCAAATTCTTCTATTTTAAATATTCTCTTTTTTACACAAAAGATAGTATGTTTGATATGCTGTTTTTGTATTTTGCTTTATAGATTTAATATTATCTCCTGGAAATCACTCCATACCGGTGCATAGAGGTCTTTCTCATTGTTTCTCTTGGCTACATAGTACTCCACTCAACTGCAAATCATGGTTCACTCTACCACGTACCTACCTGTGATGGTTCAGGGGATATCTCCTATTTTACAGTTACAATAATGCTGCAGTGCTTGTGCATATGTGTTTCATATGCTTAGAAGTGTGTCTTCAGGCTAAATTTCTGGGACTGGGATTACTGGGCTGCAGAACCAATGTGCTTGTAGTTTTGTTAGGTTTGTTAAGTATGTTAGCTTGGTTGTTCCCAGATAGTTCTCCACGGGATTGTGCCTGCTTGCATTTGACCTGTTTCCTTACCACCTTGCCAACCAAAAGGATTGCCAATTTTTTGGGGTTTTTGCCAATCTCCTCAGTGTGAAGTGGTATCTCAGTGCAGTTTTCATTTGCATTTCTTTTATTATGAATGAAGTTGAACTTTTCCCCTATGTTTAAGGAAAATATTTATATTACTTTTGTGAGGTGTCTCTTTTTTGCCCATTTTCCTATTGTCCACTTGTCTATTGGATTTTGGTTCTCTGACCTTTAATTTTAAGGAGTTTTTTAAAAATATATACCAGTGATATTAATCCTTTACCTAGGCATATGTGGTAAATATTCTCTTCCAATTTATCTTTGGCTTTACTTACTGTGTTTTCCACATAATAAAAAAATCTTTTATGTGGTCAAATCATCAATCTTTTCTTTTACTGCCTGTAGATTTTCAGTCATGTATTAATAGCCTTTTCTTAGACACAGGATGTAAGAGAATTCACCCAATTAAAAACATAATTTTAATGGTTATATAATATTCCATTGAAAAGATAAATCATTTTTTAGACAGGGTTCCTTCCACTATCTGAAAGTAGAATATTCCTATTTGGTTTAAACTGGCAGGTTATTTTTTTGGATCTGGGAAAATGCTCAAAATTTTTTCCACATACATAAATGGTCATAGTGTTCCCAAACCCCAAAAATAACCTACCAGATCATACCAAATAGGAACATTCTACTTACAGATAGCAGGGGAACCTGTCAATGCTAAAAGGCAGATTAGTCCCTGAGCAAATGGGACAGAGGGCAGAAGAGTGCAGAGGGGAAGCAAGTGGAAGGTTGGAGGTATGGAAGTTCTACATCTCTTTGGGTTTGGGGTGGGGACAGAGGAAAGGAGGTCTCCCATGTGAACACCCATGCAAGGAATCAAATCCAGCCCCTAGGACATAGCCAGTGTCAGGGCCTGCCCGGGCACTATGGGAACTCCAGGGTAGGGAGCGAGAGGTTCTTTGGGCAGAGGGACACTGGAGCAGGACCAGCGTCCAGGGTGGTTAAAATTTCAGGAGGCCCCATTCTCAGGTCCATGCAAGTACAGGATCCTGGCACTTCTTTGGGGAGAAGCAGGACTAGAACTGGGGCAGGAGGAAAGGCAGAAGGTGGACGGTGGGCCAGAGGAGGGTAATTTCAGCCCTGACTGAGCATGCAGAAGGGGCAGCGGCGAGCTGTGGGACAGGTGGGGTAAGGACACTCATCTCTATCCAGCGCTCTGTCCCCTCTAGCCCCCAACCCTAGAAAGGGGGCATGCTTGTGAGCTTCTGCTCACAGTGTTTGCTCTCTGAACTAGAGAAAAAACAAAAAACGAGGAGGCAGGAGATGGGGCGAGAGCAGCAAGCCCTTGGCCTGGTCACTTCCCTGCCCTTCCCACCACCAGCAGCAGGCCTGGTGAAGGCCCAGCAGCACAGGGGCAAGTTTCTCATTCAGTTTTGAATCCCCCCAAATGCAGAGCACAGAGCATTGTGGACAATGGGCTGAGCTGTGAAATGCAAATGAAAGTCTTTAGAGACAGGAAGGATTAAAATTGAACTCCAGCTGGACTCTTGCTGAGTGGCCTTGAGAAAGCCATTTAACCTGTCTGAGTCATTATTTGTTAAATTCAAGGATCATATCTGCCTTTCAGGGCCTTTACACCAGATAAAGTAGACTATAGGCCAAGTACAGAGCCCAACAGCCAGTAGACCTGCTTTCATTCATTCACAGACACTCACTTATGCCTACTCTGTGCCAGGCAGCCAGATGGCAACAAGCTGTGACTGGAGTTCAGGTATATGGTGATATTGGGCCTGCTCTGTTAAGTTCGGCTGGATACAAGCATCCCTGTGCTCAAGGTGCTAGAAGTCACTCCCATGATGGGAGTGGGTTTTCCAGGTCCTTCCAGCTATACAACTCTGAGGTGAGCTCTTAGAATTTGGTGGAGGATCTGGCTTAGGTGGGAAGTGAGGAGAGAAAAGGGGAATTCCAAAGACACACTATGAGATCAGAAATTCCTGATCTCACACTGTTCTCCATGGGTCACACCCATTGCTCTCTGGGGTTTGATGCCAGAGTGAGCCTGGGTTCCTCCTTTGGGAAGATTAGGTCCGGCCTAGCTAGGTGAGACACCAGGACACCTTTTCTGTGGGGCTTTAAGATGAGGGCATGGAAGTGCTGGAGCCCAGGACACTTGGAGAGTGAATGTGGCATTCTTACCATTTTAAGGGGAAACACATGTAAAATGGGACTTTCCTAGCAAACATGAGACTTCAGGGGTCAATATAATGGGCTATTTTTTCTCCTCTCCATTTCCCCCATGGTAACATGGAAGACTTCATGACTCTGTCCAGGTAACGGATGAGTTGGGGAGCCCTTAGCATACCACTTCACCTTCCCAGCTCTTAGCTTCCTTCCATAAATTTCATTCATTCATTCTGCAGATCTTGTTCTGTGCCTTCCATGTGGAAGATAACGTCTCATGTGCTTAGAGGTTCAAAAGTGACCATGACAGGGCCTGGCCTTCCTATGACACCCTCAGACCTCTGGTGTACCCGCCCTACTCCAGTGACAAGCTCTGGTGCATAAAGTCATGTGGTCAAGTTTGGGGAGCCAAGACATAAGGGTAAGGCTGTCTCTGAAAAGTGTCCAACTGAGTAGGGCAGAAAATAGCAAGTAAAATACATAAGGAGATGGTGAACATGTGCCCATTTTATGGGCAAGCAGCCTGAGGTTCAAAGAGATGGCATAATGGGCTCAGTAGCATATAGCCAAGAGGTGGTAGTTGAGATATTTGTACCCTTATGCCTGACTGTTGAGTCTGTGATCTTTCCTTAAACATCAGCTTTCTATTGTCTAAACTTTGCTTGTGTTTTCTGGCCCCCTGTGACACAGGGGTGCCCTCAGCCTCCATAGTGACACTCACTGAGGGCTACTGGGGGGCTACCCTCAGCTACTTCCCCTCATGCTCTCAGACTCCACAGCTGGGAGATGGATCCAGTAAAACTTCTGTTTCTAATCAGCTGGAGTAGAGGGGTGGTGAAAAACATTCTGAGGGGGTGGCAAACATACGGGACTGCTCAGAGAAGGGTGAAGTTATAAGGAGACAGGCACTAATGCAAAAGATACAAGACCAAGAAATACTATTTTTTATGTAACTTTCATTAAAATATTAACTAGAATATTATGCCAGAGCAAATGAGTTGTCTGGGGTCCCTGAAGACAGTTGACTAGATCTCAGACCTTTAGTTCTTAGATTTAGTGTCCTTCCTCTGAAATATCTGCCCCCTCCCCGCTGTTTCTTCATAAGTACCTAATAACTGGTTTTTATATTTTAAAAAATCATTAGTGAGATTGAACAGCTTAAATAACTTTAGTGGACACCTATGATTTTTCATGAAAAATCTTCATGAATTTTCTGATTTATTTTTTAGGAACTCTGTATATTCCAGATATAAGCCTTTGTCTGTTACCTACAACAGAGATACCTTCTCCCAGCCTGTTAAATTTTTTGCTTGTGTGATATCTTTATCATAGAAAAGTTCTGAGCTTTTATTTAATCAAATCTATCACCTTTCTTCCTGTATGGCTTGTGGGGTTGAGGAATACCTGCACATAGACCATGTAAATTTGTCAAAAACAAATTTAACCAGTTTCAGGATCTGAAAGCTTTGGTATAGGGGGTTATCCAAGGACCTCTTGATAGTCAACCTCAGACTAGTAGGCCTAGAGCAGCTGTCGACCAGTCCAGCCCTCATCCTGGACACCTTGCACAGTACCCCCAGTTCAGGGCCACACTCTACTCTTTGCTCCCCCCAGGTTGAGGCCTACCTGATAACTACAATGAAGGAAACATTGACCGTGCACCCCCACAGTGTGTTTTTCTGGTCACCAAGACCAAATGAAGGCCCAGGAACTTGTTTTCCCTTTCTGTCGTGCTGTGTTCCTCCCTTCCCTCATCCCCACCCACGGAAAGAGATCTGAAAATCTACTAAAACTGTTTTATGTGGGTGGGCACCTTTATCTGACTGTTGTTGCTTTCATAGGAAACTTTTCACAGAGCCAAATACAGAAAATTATCTCTTCAAACATACCATTCAGTGTAATTTTACAAGATCTGCCATAATTGCCCTAGCATCTTCTCAAAGGAAACTTGAAATCCAGTGGTTGCTGTGTTATAAAAGAAGCAAGAGGCTTGGGTAACCAGAAAAGAACCATTAATCCTGTTGCGATTCATCCCTACAAATTCATTGTTTCTGGCAAGGATGAGAAAGATTGCTTTGAAAAGCTTTTTGGGAGGGATCCAGTCTGTTGGCACGTGTGCATGCACACACACACAAACACACAAGCACACACTTATAACACGCATGCAATGCTGCAATGGCCAGTATTTATTCCAAATAGGTAACTTAAGCATCAGGTCTACATTGAGTCTTGCTGCTTTGGTGTCTTATATCATAGTGTCCCTATATCTTTTTTTTTTTTTTTTTGAGCGGGCAGGGCTGAGTAACAGCTCCAAAGAGAACAGGCAAGCAATGGAGGCCCCAGTAGGGAGCAGCTGGCAGCAGGGAGGGGCTGGGCCAGAGGCTCAGAATAGCCGGTTCTAGCGCCAGAAGGTGAAAAGGGCAGAGGAAATGGGTGGGCTTGGCCTGTGGGAGGGGCAGCCTGGACTGGGAGGGGAAGCAAGGATGGGTGTGAAGCTGTGGCCTGGAGATCACTTGTCCATGGAAAGTTTTCAAAGTGGAGATTCAGGGGTGGGAAGGAGGCCTGTGAGGGTGGAGGAAGGTTCTGGACTTTCCAACCGGCCAAAAAGGCATGGGACACAGGGCTGCCTCCTAATGGCCATTGTGAGGTGGCACAGACACCACCAGTGGAAGGGTGGAATGGGGTTCAGTGGGCTGAGAGAGGCAGAGCTGAGCAGGGGTTTAGGGCTGCACTCAGGCCTGGGCTTTTAGCTGAGGAACCCTCCTGAAGATGGAGGAAAAGAGGGCTGGGCAGTGAGATCACAGGTTCAGGAGCTTCCTTGCATTCTGTACAGACACACTACCAGCCATCTCCTTGCTCAGTATACAGTCGGCGCCCAGCAAATATTGATGGCCTCATTGGCTGAGTCCCAAAGAGTTGTTCTAGCGTGAGCAGCGCTTTCAGGGTCACTTCAGCAAAACCATCACCAAGTGTTACTGAGCACCTCTGGGTGCTGTGTTCTGGACCAGGTTCTGCAGAAAGGACAAAGGAAGTGCAATAAAGAAACACAGCAAATATAAAATCAGAATCTTTGGCAGCTCCCCCCAATCTGATAGCCACCTAGAGTCCCAGACTATCTGGAATGAGAGGCCTTTCACAGATCAGAGGGTAGGATCACCCCCAGAACTTGGACCCCACCCTACCATCCTTGCCAACCCACTAACATCATAGGTGACATCATGGTTGAGGGGAGAAGCTTTGGAAGCTCCTGTGCAACAACAGGTGGGGTGGACGGGGTTTCCTGCAGTCTGCTGGCACACCTAAGCCAAAGCTCCAGCAGGTAGGCTGCATTATGTTGGTTTTATCCCTGAAAGGCCAGTTTTCTTTACTCTGCCCTGGTTTGATTCCTGAATATGCCCAGGAACCCAGGCTACAGAAAGTGGGCAACACTGCCCACCCTGGACCCTTTTGATCCTCTATCAGAAACCTAATTTGGAGGGTTAGCCCCCAATACATGGTTAACTGGAACTGCTGATGACTTTTTGCCCTGGATAGATCTGTTCAGCAGCGGTGGTATGGGGAGGGGCACAACAGGAGACAGACGCTCTCTCCCTAAACTGCTGTGTGACCTTGTACAAGAACCTGCCCCTTGCTGGTCTGAGTTTCTTTGTGAAATAAGGACAACAATCCCAATTTGGGGAAGGTTTGTGGTGAAGACTAAGCAAGGTAATAGGTATAAAGTCATTTGAATGGTGCTCAGCACACAGGCTCAGCACACAGTTGGTGCTTAATCCATGTCTGAACTCCTTCCATGTGCAGAGCGCAGTACTGAGCTTCCAGAGGATGCAGAGATGGCAAAGGCCTTTCTCTGCATGGAGGGGGGGGGGGGCCCTTACAGAAGAATATGGCCCTTACAGAAGAATAGCGTAGAAGGATGTGCATCACCCAAGTACATGAGTGCAAGTGCTGGAGAGGTTCTGGTGGGTCAGGAAAGGAGAAGGCGGAGGAGGAAGGGAGGAGGAAAAGTATAGGAGGAGCAGGAAGAGGATACATGAGCTGAGCAATGGGTAGACAGAGAGAACCAAAGTGGGGAATTCTGATCGCTGATGTGTGTGTGCATGTGAGTGCAAGGGTGTGTATGCACGGGCATGTATGTGTCTGCCAAAGAGCACAGAGTCTTGCCACAGAATAGGAAGTCTGGCCTCTGGTTCCCCAAGGCAGCACCACGTGTTGCACCTCTCCTACCCGTGGCTGAGAGGGAACATGCCTGCACGAAGTCCGGGGCAAACCCTTGTGCATAACCCAAGGTGGGATTAATTTAATTATTTCAAAAGCCCCTTTGGTATTTCACGAGGGTCATGCCCCTGGCTGTGGGCTTGAATACAACTACAGCAGGTTTCAATAAAATCAATTAATTTAATTTGATTTGGTTTTATGTACTTGGAGCTAGTGCCTCTTGAACTCAGTATGAAAATCATTGCAGAATAAAAATGCATATTAGTACTCAAGCCCAGTGTCCTTGGACTCTGCTGGGAGCTGGCAAGGCTAATCACAAAAGCAAATCCCCCCTGGAGTGGCAGGAGCAGCTGCCCACTGCCCACCATTAACCCCTCCAGTGCCAGATAGTGTTTATGGAGACCGTGCAGGCTGCTTGTAGGCTATTGCACTGCTTGTAGGCTATTGCCGAGGCACTTTCTTACCTGGTAGTGAAGCAAATGCTTTTGCCTTTTGCTTTCCTGAAAGGAACTCTGAGAGGTTTGATTGACTTCGATGACCAGCTTACTGGGGTCTTCTGTTGTCACTAACTAACTTCATCAGAGGAATATGCTGCATGATTGAACCTCTGCTCTGACCTGAGAGACACTTGAACTTGGTCAAGTCCCTTTACTCCTCTGGGCTTTTATTTCCTTATCTGTAGTAAGAGGGCTGGACACCTGATTGCAAGGCTCCTTCCAACTCAGTCATGTTCCATGAAACAGCTCATGTCCCTGCCTTACTTGACTCTTCTTGCCTTCTTCCAAGGCACCCCAGCCAGCCTTGGAAAAGTTGACAGGACTGCAGAACAACGCTGCTCTCCTCAGAGGTGCTGCTTCTCCCCCACATTCCTACAGATCAGAGCAAATACTGCCTTCAAGTGTGGAGGAGGGTTGCAGTTCAGCAGGGGCAGTCCTGGCCAGCCCTGTTACTTTACAGATGAGAGAACACAGTTCTAGAGTCACACAGCACAGCTGGGGACAGCAATGACATTCTGCCACATTCAGCATCCTTATCAAGGGTGGGTTTCCTGCCCCGTCCTCCTTTTCCGCCCGCCCTTTTCATTTTCCTTCTCCTGTCAGGATAGGAGAGCGATGGCCAATTCATCTCTGGGGCCTCCCTAGTAAAGCAGTTTTGGGCACCAGTCATTCTAAGCCCTGGATGTCCATTTGATCGATCCTGGCTGGAGATAGCTAGTGCCCCCAAATCCCACGACATTAGAAAACTCCCCCGCCAGCGTCTGAGAGCCCACCCTAACAGTTTCTTCATCCCATAGATGCTAAGGGTCTGCCCCCTCCCACAGCCCTTTCTCCTGACCTTGCATTTGGCACTGAGCATCGATGGCCTTGAGTTAGTAGTATTTTTTTCGCGTAAGTCTTATCTCCCCAGAGCTCCCATGTGGCAGACACAGTTGGTCCTCTCCATCCATCCTCTTCACTCTCCAGGCTCTTACTGAGAAGCAGCTGTAATGCCCTGAGCAGACTCTGCTCTCCTCTCTCTCATGCTCTCCTTGCAATCTCTTCTTTAATCCCTGCCCTGGCTCTGCAAAGTGGGCATAACCTTCCCTGCTTTACTGCTGGGGGACTGAGGTTCAGAGAAGAGAAAGAACCTTCTCAAGGGCACACTCAGCTGGCTGGGATTCAAACCCACCTCTCCCAAGATGCTGTGGCCTTCTTTGCACATAGTAGGTGCTTAACAAATCCTTAATGAGAGATTATACTCCACTCACTCTGACAAATAGCAGATGTCCCCAGGAGAAATAATTATTACTTAGGAAGCAACTATGATACGTCAGGCACCAAAACACACAACAGCTCACTAGCGGGTACTGTTATTACCTCCATTCCCCAAAGCAAACCAAGACCTAGAGAAGCGACTTGCCTAAGATCACCCAGGAAATAAGTGCTTCTAGCCCTGGCCTTCACCTCTCTGCCCTAAAGAGACCTCAAAGTGAATTGGGGTCCTCCCCCCTTCAGCTCCCCAAGGCTCTAGATGTCAGGTAGAAGGTTCTCCTATAATGGAAGCAGGGGTGGGGGTGGTGGGAGCGGTTCTGTGCCTCAGGGACGCCAGCAGCTGGCACTGCCCTCCACCCAGTCGATAGCTGCAGCCTGGCTGGCTGCCAGGCTGGCCCACATCGGGCCTTGGCATGGAGCCGAGCCCGGGGATGTGCGGGCAGCAGCGTGAGGGGGCGGGGCCGGGGCTCCGGTTCTGTGCTCTCCCCTGGCTGCCCTGGGGGGTGGGGGCGCCACCCCACCCCACTCGTCCCTCTCCCGGGCCAGCGCAGTCCCCGCTGGGGCAGGCGCCGGCCTCTCCAGCTCCAGCCGCGGGCAGGGGAGGCGCCCGGGCGCGGGGAGGCGGGTGGGTGAAGAGGTCGGGCTGGGGCACGGTGAGAATGCGGAGGACAGGCCCAAAGAAACAGGATGGGGCCGCGGAGAGGGGCGCGGGTAGGACAGAGGAGAGGCGGGGTTCCGGGGGCGGGGAGGGAGGGGTCGAGGGCTCCTTGATGCCCTAGAGGTGGGCTGGGGCTTCGCGGCTGGAGAGGGGTGCGGGTACCGGGCAGGGAGGGGCGGGGCGCCGGCGAGAGGCGGAGCTCCCGGGACTGGGGGACTGGGGGACAGGGGCGGGGGCTCCCCGACCAGACCTGGGGCGCCGGGGAAGGGGCATCGCGAGGGCGCGCGGTCCCGAGTCAGCGGCCAGGGCCGAGCGCCTGTGGTGACCTCGCTTTCCTGACTCTGCTTTCTCAGGGCCCAGGCCAGGGGCCTGGCTGGGAGGGAGACGTGGGCAACCGGCCTGAACCGCGGGGCAATTCGAGGGGCGCGGGCCGGCCAGCTGGGGTGCTGCCCAGCACCCACTACCCTCCCCGGGAGTTTTTCTGAATCCGCCCCACTGGTTTTACTGTTTCCCCTTCCCCCACCCGGGCCCCACCCTCTCTCCCGACTTTCCTCTCCCCTCCCCAACCCGTGTTGGCTCCTCCGAGGAATCTGTGAGCCCTAGGGAGGCGCCAAGCTCGCGCCCTCAGCTCCCCGCGCTCCCACCCCTCCTGGAGATGTCAAATCCCTTTCCCTTTCCCTGCCCCACCCCCCACCACCAACTCTCTGGGGCTTAGTGGAGGAACTTTGGGAACCTGTCCTAGAGGCCCTTCCGCCCAGCAACTCCCTTAAGGTTTCTTCATGGTCCCCCCACCCCCACCCCTTTCCTTCTCTGGCCTCAGGCACTGGTGCACTGGCTGCTGGCAGAGGGGAAAACCCTGGCAACCTTCGCAGGATGAGAACTTCTTTCCCCTTACCCCTTTCTGCATTTGGCTTGGGTTCCTGCAATGGAGTACGCCCTCCCCCCATACTTAGACTCAAATAGTGGCATTCCAAAGATAGATCAACAAATTGAGGAGGGGAGGGGCAAGAGAAGAGGATATTTGCGTCAGGGGAAGCCTGCAGATGTATCAGGGATCCCTCAGATCATAATAAGAAGACCCTCAGGGTCTCCCCCTTAAACCCCACTGTCTGGCCTCTGTCACCAGTGGCCTCGAACTCATCCCCAAAGCTGTGTGTTCTTCCATTTCCAGGTAATAAACCTGGAATCCTCCCCATGCCTTTGGGGAGCTTAGTGAGTTCCTGAACTCGCATTTTATAAGCTTGGAGTTCTTTGACCAAGATTGCTACTATTTATACATCAGGACTGTTGTCTAGTAGACTAATGACCAGGATCTTTAACACAACTGGACCATGGGGAGTATCATCCCGGTCCTGGTTTCTATGGGCTGAGGCCCTTGAAACCCAGAGAAGAAGTGTTACAGGGCAACCCCAATATGAAGTATGGAGTTTGCTCAGGACATCCTTTCCCCCTAACAGAAGTGACCTGCCCAGGGTTACAGACTGTTAATGCAGTGCTGGAACTCTAGCCCATCTTCTATCCCGTTCCAATGTGCTTTCATGTTAGGGTAGCTCTGTGTTAGAAATCTAGCTCAGCACAGTAAATATTGGTGAAAAGAATAAATGACTCCTCGATGAGAAATACATCCCATTTGGGGGAAGTGGGAATGTTACAGGGCAACCCCGATATGAAATGGGTTGCCTGATTGTGGGTCCTCACCTGCGCTTAAAGGGGACTTATTAATGCCAAACTGCAGGCACACACAAAAGGTTAATAAAAAGGTTATTTACAAAGGAAGAGGAAATGAGGAAATGAATAACTCAGGGATAAAAAGGAGATAAATTCATAAATACGTCCTACCTGTTCCGCTGACATGGAATCCCTATGACCCGCGAGAGCTGGTGAAAAGCCAAGTGCCCTGTGGCCAAGAGGGCGACCCCAGCTCACATGGCTGGTTATATACCCAAACAAAAAACATGGGTGCTTAACTCCACCCTCTGGTCCTCACAAACCTCCCTTTGGTGATCATGGGATTTGTAGTTCCCAGTGTCTTGATGGAGTTGGGGTGGAGTCCATAAAGCCTGTATGGAGTTTGCTCAGGACATCCTTTCCCTCTAACAAGAAGACCCTCTAGGCTTCCACTGACTTTGGACTCTAGCCCCTTCCTATGGAGTGTGCTGGTGAAATGTTTCTTTTGGATAGTTGATCAGTGATGACACCATTAGGATCCTGGCATCAGTTTGGGTCACTTCAATCCTAGTCACTTTGCCCAAGAAGATCATGGCTTTGGAGGTAGGTTCAAGTGTGAGCCAAATTGGCAGTTGTAGATCAGAACGATTAATGCTACCACTCTTTTCCATTCATTGCCCTCAGCCAGTATCTGAACAGCTTGCAAAAGAGCAAGGCCTGTCTATTCCTGCAGGGGCTCTTGTCATCCCGGGGGCCCTGCCAGGCATTATGTTAGGAGACCAGGGCCCCATAGATCTAGCACCTCGTGGGACCTGCTCTTGGGACCTTTAGTATCCTGCCTGCTGGGCACTAGCTGTATGTGATACTAGTAAGCCTTGTAGGGTGGGAAGAGCCAGAGAAGGAGAAATTCAAGTCAACCAGGTTACAATTATTAGTTTTATAAAGTATTTGAGGGGAACTAGGCTGAAATGAATGATTAAAATACTCTTGGCTAGTGTAGAAGCTCTTGAACTTGAACTTCTCTGATTTAGAATTTAGCATAGTAGAGCTTAGCTCTGCTGAGTTTCTCCTTTGCACTATGAACACAGGGTCTGATGAATACATTAAAGTTTTATTATAAATAATAGTGAATTGTAAATAATGACTGTATTATAAAGATTTCACACAAGATTTACAATAGGAAGGGAGGTACATGCTTGTGACTTTTTTGTGATGACATATTTTGGCCAGAAATAGGTCAGACCCATCTGCCTTGGTAAGAATTTTATTTACAAATATGATTGGGTACCGCCTAAGTGCTTGGCATTGTGTTAAATGTTCTATTAGCATTAATTTATTGAATTCTCATAAGAATATGATGAGGCATGAGTTATTACACTTCCTGCTTTACAGACAAGGAAACTGATCATTGGAAAATAACCAGATTTCATACAAGAGCAATTTGACTCTGGGGTTGGTGCCCTCGACTACCACATGTGTACATGTTTTAGTGTAAAGATGAAGGGGATAGAAAAGAAATAAAGAAAAAGGACAGGCCATCACTCCGACCCCACTCAAAAGCTTCTGATATCATTGGTTTGGTATTTAGTAGGTGCTCGTAAGTGAATTAATCAGTTAAGCAATGGTGGGGACATGGGTGGAAGTGGCTTGAATCTCTCCATGTACCCCCCACCCCCACTTCAGTGCTCATGCATAATAGACATTGAATAACCAACAGAACTGCAGGAATGAAGACACCTAGTCTAGTCTAGGCATTTTTCAGATGAGGAGACTGGCCCACTAGAGGCTCCAGGGTTCCATCTGTGCAGCGTTCTCATTGGCCACTTGGAAGCAGCTATGGGCTGAGAAAAACATGGTGGGGCAGTTGGGCTTCAATATTCTTAGGTACTTCTCACCCCCAGCCTTGGGGGAGCATTGGCTATGTAAGGAAGCCCTGGAAACTTGCCTCCAGCTTCATGGTCCACCTGAGCCTGCCTTCCCCCAACCTGTACCCCAGCACTAAAATCAGAGGCCTTTAAAGAGATGGGTGAACCTGGCTGTGAGGTGAGAAAGTGGGCCTCACACTCTTCTGCTTGGTATCTCCATGCCATACTTTGCAGTCCAGCATCTTCTATTCCCACCAGGGCAGGGCAAAGGTCATAGGGACACTCACTGCCAAGTCAATTTAAAAAAACAAGAGAGTCAGTCCTCCCCTGGTTGCGCAGTTGTTGAGCGCTGGGCTGTGAAGCTGCCTACAGCCTCTGCAGCACCGGTTCGATCCCTGGGCCCCGGAGAGGGTCCCACATGGCACAACAGACCTCTCCTGCCATGCCTGCTGCTCCCCTCAGCAGTATATTTCGTCAGTCTGCCTGTTCTGTTCCCCGCTCTGGCTCTGGTGAATCCTCTCACCCTCCCGCGCTTCTGACTGTACCCAGTGCATGTATAAATAAATAATCTTTAAAAAAGAAAAAAAAACAAAAAACAAGAGAGTCTTGCAGAAGAGCACCCAGGAGCCAGGAGTAGGCAGGCCTCCCTACCAGCATTTTGGAATTCTGCAGCTCTGGCCCCAGGACACTTCTTCCACGTTCACAGATGGAGAGCCAAAAGAACCATCAAGTTCATCACCCCTCCCCTGCACCACCCAAGACCCTGGAAGAAGTACTTGCCCAACAATGTGCAGCCCCTGTAGAGGCAGAGCAGATCTAGAAGCAGGACACCTGCTCCCAGCTCAGACTCAATATGGGTCTTTGGTTTTTGGGAAACACCGTTTTATCCCATGGTTATCCCATAGCCTGTTAGGGCCAGAGATCTAAGACAGCCAGCCAGGGCTTGTTTGCCTGATCCTTTCACAGCCCTCCCCACAGGCAAACCACCCGTCACTTCTGATTGGTGCCCTTGGCAGCAACTAAAACAAATCTACCAAAGCAAAGAGAAGAAGGAGAGCCAGAACAGGGAGCTGGTGTTTGTCCCTGGTGAGAACCTGGGCATATTGAGTTTGTCAGCTCGTCCGGCCCAGATACCATCTCGTTCCTGCTTGGCACTGGTTCATCCTGCTTGAATGTTCCTC